TCCTCTCTTACTGCACTTTTACTTTAAATTTAAATCAATAATGGTACACGTACTTAAATAGCATACAATTATTTTTCATGAGGGTTTGGTGTCAAGGAAAGGATACTGACTTAATCAGTTATTAATATTTATTTTACTCACTTTCTTACTTGCATTGTGTACAATTTGTGTTTGAAAATGTCATGCCCTGTACTACAGTAACATGTTCATTTCAAAAGTAATGTCATTGACTATTACATGTACTCATGTACTTATAATTTGTTCATTATTGTTATTTCATTTATCATTGTCTTGTACCTTATAGAGTTTGTTGCTCAAGCTTGAAAGGTAGTCAGCTGTTAAATTCCTTATTCTAAGGCCACAAAAATAACAAGTTATTACAGTTCTTCTGCCTTTGGTAAAGATCTTGATTTAAGTCATACTGAATGTGAGATTTAAACTCTAAGAATTAAATTTGCTTTAATTTGTTACCATCTTTAGAATCAATAAGTGCGTATTTTGTGGAAAGCTAATTCATTTACTACATTTCATTTACGTTTAGTTTAGCCGGCAGTCTTTCGGGGTAAAAATAGACGAGGCGGGGTGAATGCATTCTGAAAGGTAGTAGCTTTGCTGATGTTAAAGTGCGTGTCACTGCAATTCCACCACACATAAGTATTGCATTCATTTTATTACAATACACCACTCTATACCCTTGTTAATACTTTTATGTACACCATTGTGTGTGGTTGATTCTTCTTCCCATTGTGAGTTGAAGTTGACTTTCTCACGACCTTGCCCTTTAATCATTTCATGTTTATATCGTTGGACTCTGTACTTATGAAGTCCAAGGTGGGGAGCATTTTATGGATACTTGTCCCCGCCCCCGTTTTCATCAAACGAATATGTCAACCCGGCTGATAAGGGGAGGTTAATTGTTTTGTTTTGTGGCAGGGGAAAAGTTATGCACAAGGGAGGAACAGAGCCAACGTCAGTCACAGTACGGAAAATCAACGTAAACTTTGTTTGAAACCCAAATAAATGATTGTTCTCGTTGAAAAAAAGGTATTTCGGATTTCAATTTCCTTTAATAGTTATGAAAGTGAGCCGAAACCATAGTCCCCAGAACATCCATGTCAATAGTAAGCAACTGAAACAGGTGAAGGAGTTTCAATATCTTGGCAGCACTTTTTCGGAAAACGGGTCCATAGACAGAGAAATAGAAATATGGGAACTCAAAAAGCCAACGCTGTCACCTACCAGCTCGCACAGCTCCTGTCTCATAGAAGAGAGCATAACATCACAACTGAAAGAGCTGCGGAGCTGGCCTACCATAGAAAACTGCATCTCCCCTCGACTCTTAACGGCAACAGAGGATCAAAAAGTAAAAGCAAAGTACATATTTCCTTTAATACAAGTAAGTAAGCAGTGTCGTGCCAGAGTTTCGGAATAATAGCCACAACAGGAGAACGTAGACATCAAAACACGTCCTGGCACTTTGCTCGGGAGCAACAAAAAAAAAAAAAAGATCATATCCTCGTCAAGTGTGGCTAGTTAGTTTTGTTTGTCTGTTGTTGTTCTTGTTTTTTTTTTTTCTCAGTTTCATGGAAAAATAATATAGTGATGCAAAGCTGATACGTATGTCTTTTTTTGTTTTTGTTTTGCTTCTTTGTTTTGAGGATTAATTTTTTAAACATCTATCACGTGATATTGTTTCTAGCCGAACGAAGAGCTAAGACGAAATAGAGCTGCCCCTCTCTGTATCGCTCTTTCTTTCTTTTTTTTCTTCCTTTTTCTGTCTGTTACTCTCGCTCTCGCTCTTTGTAGATTTACATAATTTTTTAAAGTGTGTGTGTGTGTGTGTGTGTGTG